CCCCCCCCCGTGTTGTGATCCCCACTGCACAGGGGGAAACTGAGGCCCGGAGAGACTAAGGCCTGGCACAAGGTTTGACCAACGTCATGCCCGGTGCGACCAGCCGACGTCCCCACTGCTGGCTTTACAGCAGCCCTAGCCCTCCCAGCAGGGCCCTCGGGGACTTACATCCCATGGCACCGCACTGCCCCACGAAGGAACCAGCCCGTAGGAATCCAGCTCTCGGTCAGTTTATACCCTGAAGCATGGGGACTGAGCGTCCTGCTCATTTTTATCTTCCCTAGTGTAGTCCTAGTCATTGGTCTCATCTGCATAGATACCTGATCCCTTTGTATGATCAGTGCCTCAGAAATGTCATGGGGCGGGGAGTTCCAAAGGTAACTGCATCTAGCTTAAGCATCGCTTTGCCTGTAGGAGCCAGGAATGGCTGCCAACCTGCCAGCGCTTTCAAAGCCAGCGAGAAGGGCAGCAAGAGCCCGATGGCTGAGATTGACCTGGCTGAAGGGGAAATGTTTCATGTCACGGGTGCGGGAGACGCAAGGACGAGCCGTTTGGAGTGTTACACAATGAAGAGCGATTACACCTCTCCAGCCCCAGGGGCAGCCCCTTCAAAACGGAGCATCGGGACTGGGGAGGGCAGACCGGCCCGAGTAGCCAGGGTGACTGGGGAAATCGAATTGTGCCTAAGCGCTGCACTTACAAGTGGCATGGCGGTACCGACAAAACGGTTTGCCAGGGTAGAGAAGACTTTCAGAGGGAAGGCTGGCACGGACAAATGTGCATCCCGGGTACCCGGCCTGAGCTCCGTGAGCCTGAGCCGGCTGACCCAGGCGCCAGGATGCGGTGCCACGAGCTTTTATTGCAGCGGAGACATGAGTGAAGGGTCCCTAGGCCAGCTGGGGGCTGGGCCATGCCGTGACCCTGGCAGGGGTTTCAGTTGCCCCTCTGAGGCACTGGGCTTTGCCCACCAAAGCGCATGATGTGATGTGTATTTTGGTTAGTCTGCGCTGCCCTGAGCCGGCTGACCCAGGCGCCAGGATGCGGTGCCACGAGCTTTTATTGCAGCGGAGACATGAGTGAAGGGTCCCTAGGCCAGCTGGGGGCTGGGCCATGCCGTGACCCTGGCAGGGGTTTCAGTTGCCCCTCTGAGGCACTGGGCTTTGCCCACCAAAGCGCATGATGTGATGTGTATTTTGGTTAGTCTGCGCTGCACGAGTATTCCGGAGACATGCTCCAAAATAGCGTATTTCGCAATAGCGCGTCTACGCTACAGGGAACCCTGGAAACGAGTCCGAGGCCGGCTCCCCCAGTGCGGACGCGCTCCCTCGACGCAGCGCCCCAGGAAGCTCCGGGGAGTCAGGACGTGAACTGGCCCGGGGGAGGAGCCATTTCGAAATAGCAGCCATGGAGTGGCCGAACCCCTGCCCT